CTTTTCGCCATTTTCACCATCATGAAAATCGGAATCGGTCATTTCCTGCTGCTCTGCTCTCCATCAGCTGAAGTGGGTGCTTCCAGGAAGCACCCAGGCACCAGCTTGGTTCCGCTTCTCCGCAGGGAACTTGGGCAGGACAAAGGACGGAAGCCCAATGCCTAACTAGTAAGGGAGGCATGCGAAGCCTGGCAGAGGCACCGCTTGGAAGAAAGTTGTAGGGCTGCAGAAACAGAACCTTGAAGGTCGCCCTGGGAACTTGTGCCCACGCCAACCCCTCAGATGCGTCAGAAGCCAAAGCTGCCTGCTTAGGAAGAGGCATCGTGAGACCAAGTGCAGGACACTCGGGTGCCAGGTGGGGAGGCCTCACAGAGGTGACAGCCCCTGCAGCAGAGTGCAGGATTCTGCCTTCTGGCCCCAATGCTCACCGGTCACACTGGTAGGGAGGTCACTTGCTTCTCAGTCCGACCCACTCCGGCCCCAGAGGAGGACTGCTGGGCTGTGTGGCGCTGACTCATCCCATCTGACCCTTCCTCTGAGCTCAACGCTGCTTGCTTCAGGATTGCAGCAGAGAGGAGCCTACCCTCCCAGCCTGGTGTGCAGTGAGGAGGGGCGCAACACTCTGGTTGGGATTGGGTGCCTGGGCCTCTTCTCCCAGGCTTTGGCCCCAGGCTGGGCCCTTTCAGGGCGCTTATCTGAAGCCCAGAACCAGTCTGACCCATGGCAGCCAGGGCTCACTGGGGGGTGTTCTGCCTGGCCTGGGTGTGCCCCAGACCTCCTTGGGTGTCAGGGTCTGTCTCTGGTGGAGAAACCTGCATGGACAGCTGGGAGGGCTGAGGCCAGAGGGCCTGCAGGGAGTATTCTGGGCTGGGGAGTCTGGCAGAGCCCCTCCCGGCTGTGCCCCGGAAGAGAGGCAGGCCACGGATTTCCTTGAGGCTCAGAAGGTTTGGAATCAGGACTCCCTCCAGGGAACCCGTGGAGATGATGGAACCGGAGACTTGGGGGAACCCTCCTCATCCTAGGACGCTGAAGTCCAGCACCGATCTCCCACGCTCAGCGGCCGTCTCCGCCGATTGATTTGGCCTGAGGCCATGGGGTGGTCCCCATGGGGAGAGGCGCCCCGGGCGGGAGACTGGGAGCAAGGTGGGCGCGGGTGGAGGGTGCGCCGTAGTGGGGGGCGGGCCCGGGCGGTTCG